TATTGACACAACAAGCTGCATCCAGCATTCAGGTGGCAATATGAGGCGAAGTTGATGTTCGCACTTTAATTGAGAGTTATATGAACGTTTATAAGTGAAATGAACAGACTGCATTATCAAACTTATATTTTCTCTCTTTCTTTCACCTGACGAGCTTTGTACATGCCCACGGTGGCATGGTGTGGAAAGGCACCCAGGGATAAACCGTCTCTATATGATTTGTTTAAAAACTTAGATCATTGTTTAGGATTTCTATGAAATCTCAGATTATCGCAGCCTCCACTTAATTATGTTTGAATGGATGATTATTCCCGCCGAGCACTGCTGTCGCGCATGTCACCTTGCTGTTAACATGAACGTATATCCTACGATGGCTTAAGCCCTCACTTCACTCATCATTGCCGCCTGTGTTAAATGAATTTAACATATTTCAATTGAGACTCAAGGTGTCTGCCCAAACTTTACTTATCCCCAGATGGTTACTAGGGTCGCACTTGAATGGGTGACTACTGCCAGTCAGTGTCAGGGCTTGTGGCTAATTAAACCGGCTTTCTTTTTGTTAAAGTATGCAAATTAGTTCAGACTAGGCATTGGTAGGTCCTTGAAACAACAACCTTCTTATGAACATGTTATAACATTAGCTTTGCGCAGTGGCGGTACCATAGCCAATGAGGTCCATCCGAGGCGTGGTTATTGCTAGTTGAAAACTAATCCCAATACCCCGCGCTGACGCCCTTCACTGGGCGGCATGCGCAATTTTTGTTAGCTCCTACGGGGGCCTCATAACTAATATAAAAATAGAACATCAATTGAGGAAAACAGTGGGGTTTTTTTCTTATTCGCTTCACACACACAACCAGAACATTATGATCTTGTCATTCTAGTTTCATCTTGTTACGACTGGCTGTGTATTGAACAAAAACTATTCCTCCATGTTATTGATACACAGCTATGCACATGTGAACGATTTAAAAGTATGACAGTTAGAGTTAATTGCCCTTGGACGGTTTTACGCTAGGTAGCGCGTATATGTCGTCTGGTAAACGTTCTACATATCATATGCTTTTGCTGCAGACGGATGTGATGTAATTCCGCGCATTCTGCGTCACCGTCGATTATTAATGATACCAAACACGTCTAAAACGACTTTATAATTTACCTAAAGCTTTTGAGAGTGTTACCACAATAGAACCAGAAACCACTAAAATGTACGCATAGAACCGAAATTAGTTTGATCGTTGTGCATGAATTAAGTTGCTACACTGAACGGTAACATGCATATATAGTTCATGTGTTTGGAAAGCCAGCCAAATCTCCTCCCTATAAAAGGACGTAATCACAAGACTGTAGTGTATTGCTAACGCAGTACATATACTAAAATTGGAACGATACAGAGAAGATTAGCATGGCCCCTGCGCAAGGATGACACGCAAATTCGTGAAGCGTTCCATATTTTTAATCTTTACATTCCACCCATTATTGACACAACAAGCTGCATCCAGCATTCAGGTGGCAATATGAGGCGAAGTTGATGTTCGCACTTTAATTGAGAGTTATATGAACGTTTATAAGTGAAATGAACAGACTGCATTATCAAACTTATATTTTCTCTCTTTCTTTCACCTGACGAGCTTTGTACATGCCCACGGTGGCATGGTGTGGAAAGGCACCCAGGGATAAACCGTCTCTATATGATTTGTTTAAAAACTTAGATCATTGTTTAGGATTTCTATGAAATCTCAGATTATCGCAGCCTCCACTTAATTATGTTTGAATGGATGATTATTCCCGCCGAGCACTGCTGTCGCGCATGTCACCTTGCTGTTAACATGAACGTATATCCTACGATGGCTTAAGCCCTCACTTCACTCATCATTGCCGCCTGTGTTAAATGAATTTAACATATTTCAATTGAGACTCAAGGTGTCTGCCCAAACTTTACTTATCCCCAGATGGTTACTAGGGTCGCACTTGAATGGGTGACTACTGCCAGTCAGTGTCAGGGCTTGTGGCTAATTAAACCGGCTTTCTTTTTGTTAAAGTATGCAAATTAGTTCAGACTAGGCATTGGTAGGTCCTTGAAACAACAACCTTCTTATGAACATGTTATAACATTAGCTTTGCGCAGTGGCGGTACCATAGCCAATGAGGTCCATCCGAGGCGTGGTTATTGCTAGTTGAAAACTAATCCCAATACCCCGCGCTGACGCCCTTCACTGGGCGGCATGCGCAATTTTTGTTAGCTCCTACGGGGGCCTCATAACTAATATAAAAATAGAACATCAATTGAGGAAAACAGTGGGGTTTTTTTCTTATTCGCTTCACACACACAACCAGAACATTATGATCTTGTCATTCTAGTTTCATCTTGTTACGACTGGCTGTGTATTGAACAAAAACTATTCCTCCATGTTATTGATACACAGCTATGCACATGTGAACGATTTAAAAGTATGACAGTTAGAGTTAATTGCCCTTGGACGGTTTTACGCTAGGTAGCGCGTATATGTCGTCTGGTAAACGTTCTACATATCATATGCTTTTGCTGCAGACGGATGTGATGTAATTCCGCGCATTCTGCGTCACCGTCGATTATTAATGATACCAAACACGTCTAAAACGACTTTATAATTTACCTAAAGCTTTTGAGAGTGTTACCACAATAGAACCAGAAACCACTAAAATGTACGCATAGAACCGAAATTAGTTTGATCGTTGTGCATGAATTAAGTTGCTACACTGAACGGTAACATGCATATATAGTTCATGTGTTTGGAAAGCCAGCCAAATCTCCTCCCTATAAAAGGACGTAATCACAAGACTGTAGTGTATTGCTAACGCAGTACATATACTAAAATTGGAACGATACAGAGAAGATTAGCATGGCCCCTGCGCAAGGATGACACGCAAATTCGTGAAGCGTTCCATATTTTTAATCTTTACATTCCACCCATTATTGACACAACAAGCTGCATCCAGCATTCAGGTGGCAATATGAGGCGAAGTTGATGTTCGCACTTTAATTGAGAGTTATATGAACGTTTATAAGTGAAATGAACAGACTGCATTATCAAACTTATATTTTCTCTCTTTCTTTCACCTGACGAGCTTTGTACATGCCCACGGTGGCATGGTGTGGAAAGGCACCCAGGGATAAACCGTCTCTATATGATTTGTTTAAAAACTTAGATCATTGTTTAGGATTTCTATGAAATCTCAGATTATCGCAGCCTCCACTTAATTATGTTTGAATGGATGATTATTCCCGCCGAGCACTGCTGTCGCGCATGTCACCTTGCTGTTAACATGAACGTATATCCTACGATGGCTTAAGCCCTCACTTCACTCATCATTGCCGCCTGTGTTAAATGAATTTAACATATTTCAATTGAGACTCAAGGTGTCTGCCCAAACTTTACTTATCCCCAGATGGTTACTAGGGTCGCACTTGAATGGGTGACTACTGCCAGTCAGTGTCAGGGCTTGTGGCTAATTAAACCGGCTTTCTTTTTGTTAAAGTATGCAAATTAGTTCAGACTAGGCATTGGTAGGTCCTTGAAACAACAACCTTCTTATGAACATGTTATAACATTAGCTTTGCGCAGTGGCGGTACCATAGCCAATGAGGTCCATCCGAGGCGTGGTTATTGCTAGTTGAAAACTAATCCCAATACCCCGCGCTGACGCCCTTCACTGGGCGGCATGCGCAATTTTTGTTAGCTCCTACGGGGGCCTCATAACTAATATAAAAATAGAACTTCAATTGAGGAAAACAGTGGGGTTTTTTTTCTTATTCGCTTCACACACACAACCCGAACATTATGATCTTGTCATTCTAGTTTCATCTTGTTACGACAGGCTGTGTATTGAACAAAAACTATTCCTCCATGTTATGGATACACAGCTATGCACATGTGAACGATTTAAAAGTATGACAGTTAGAGTTAATTGCCCTTGGACGGTTTTACGCCAGGTAGCGCGTATATGTCGTCTGGTAAACGTTCTACATATCATATGCTTTTGCTGCAGACGGATGTGATGTAATTCCGCGCATTCTGCGTCACCGTCGATTATTAATGATACCAAACACGTCTAAAACGACTTTATAATTTACCTAAAGCTTTTGAGAGTGTTACCACAATGGAACCAGAAACCACTAAAATGTACGCATAGAACCGAAATTAGTTTGATCGTTGTGCATGAATTAAGTTGCTACACTGAACGGTAACATGCATATATAGTTCATGTGTTTGGAAAGCCAGCCAAATCTCCTCCCTATAAAAGGACGTAATCACAAGACTGTAGTGTATTGCTAACGCAGTACATATACTAAAATTGGAACGATACAGAGAAGATTAGCATGGCCCCTGCGCAAGGATGACACGCAAATTCGTGAAGCGTTCCATATTTTTAATCTTTACATTCCACCCATTATTGACACAACAAGCTGCATCCAGCATTCAGGTGGCAATATGAGGCGAAGTTGATGTTCGCACTTTAATTGAGAGTTATATGAACGTTTATAAGTGAAATGAACAGACTGCATTATCAAACTTATATTTTCTCTCTTTCTTTCACCTGACGAGCTTTGTACATGCCCACGGTGGCATGGTGTGGAAAGGCACCCAGGGATAAACCGTCTCTATATGATTTGTTTAAAAACTTAGATCATTGTTTAGGATTTCTATGAAATCTCAGATTATCGCAGCCTCCACTTAATTATGTTTGAATGGATGATTATTCCCGCCGAGCACTGCTGTCGCGCATGTCACCTTGCTGTTAACATGAACGTATATCCTACGATGGCTTAAGCCCTCACTTCACTCATCATTGCCGCCTGTGTTAAATGAATTTAACATATTTCAATTGAGACTCAAGGTGTCTGCCCAAACTTTACTTATCCCCAGATGGTTACTAGGGTCGCACTTGAATGGGTGACTACTGCCAGTCAGTGTCAGGGCTTGTGGCTAATTAAACCGGCTTTCTTTTTGTTAAAGTATGCAAATTAGTTCAGACTAGGCATTGGTAGGTCCTTGAAACAACAACCTTCTTATGAACATGTTATAACATTAGCTTTGCGCAGTGGCGGTACCATAGCCAATGAGGTCCATCTGAGGTGTGTGGTTTCTACGTAAAGCGATTTTGAGTCTTTCTTTATTCAGGTCTACGGGCGGGCTAGGCATTGCCTTCTGTTTTCGGACACCCCCCAGTTGCTGTTTCTACCTCCAGTGATGGCTTTGGCCAACGCTGTTCCTGGAGGAAAGATTGACCCACAGTACTATGACCCATATGTGGCGAAGTGTACCGTTGCCCTGGATACGTCGGATTACAGGAACATCGACAGAAGTACAATCCTTTCTTTGGTGAGGCCTCACATAAAGTCTGTTGACGTTCGTGGTATTTGGAAGAAGGAGAAGAGTAACAGATGGTTTATCACTTTCAAAAGCAGGAGCAGCGCGGATAAAGTGTGCAAGGCTGGTGCCCTAATGACAAGACAGGGGATTCGGATTACCACCTCCCCCTATGAGAAACAAACAGTGAGGTTGAGATGCCACTGGCTCCCCTTAAACTTGAGGCTAAGTTTTTTAGCAAAATACTTTTCACAATTTGGAAATGTCCTTGATGTGGCCTGGGACAGTACTGTTGTTTCAGGGGACCTTACATGTAATAGTGGTCTGGCCATTGTTACTCTTGAGGTGAGTAATGAGGGCAGGAATGCGATTCCATATATTGTTCGATTTGAAGATGGAGAGACAATGTTAATTACTGCTCCTGGACGCATGTCACTTTGTTTCAAGTGCCGAAGATTAGGTCATGTGAGAGCAGTGTGCCCTAATCCATGGATGTCCAGAAATCCACCAACTGAGGAGGACGACGTACCTGGATCGTTGTTTCCTCGTGGAATTGTTTTAAATGGTGCCTCCAAGAAGCCAGATGATGAAAAATCCTTGTCTGATGTGTCCGACAAAGTTCTGCATGAAGTTGATGCCATTGAGAAAGGACAGGATGTGGACTTGATGGATGAACAGAGTGAACAAGATGCTGACATGTCAGAAGGTCAAACAGAAGCAGAACTTGTGAACTCTGAGGATCGCATTGGTCAAGTTTTGGACAGTGAGGAGTCTGACGGACATGAGGACACCTCCAGTGTCTCCGAAGGCAATGAAGATGTGCACCATAGGACTGAAACGTATTCAGAAGCAGTGAAAAAGGTTTCACCTAAAAGGACCCCTCCTTCTACACATGGATTGTCAGGTGTGCCATCTGGTGTCGTAGCAGCAGCTCTGGTTACTCTGCAGCCAAGGGGTGTGGTTAGGCTGGGAACATCCGCTTCTGAGACCCAGATGAAAAAGCAGAGAACTGATCCACCGGATGATATTCTTTGAACTCGCTTTCAATAGATACGGACACGAAAACGCCTATGGACAATGAAATGGAATATGGACTTAAACATAGACGCACTGGACTCTTCCCTATGGAAGTGATATATGTGTGTTTTGACGTTCTCTTTAGTGATTTAAAACTCACTGGATTACTTGTGTATTTTTCACATTTTTCACTGTGGATATATTCGTTAAGGATTATCTCCTGTAATGGATTATCTCTTTCACGTGAGTATGCTTGTTTAATTTTGGTGATGATTGAAGTTTATGATGGCACCATCTAACGATAACGCACAGAGTAAGAATGCTAGAATGTTTTCCATTTGTACATTAAATTGTTCTGGTTTAAGAGGAGGGGTTAGGAGGAGAATGTTGAAGCATGAATGGAAGGCTATGAATGCAGATGTTTTGTTTTTACAAGAAACGCACGTTGCTTGTGTGAAAGAGGGTCAGAGTGTTGAAAGAGAGTTGGAGTGCAAGGCGGTTTGGAGTTTCGGTACAGGTTCTTCTTGTGGGGTGGGTATTTTGCTATCTAATAAACTGAACTTTAAAATTATAAAGTTTCATTATGATTTTGATGGTCGTTTATTAGTACTAGATGTTGATATGTGTGATAAATCGTTCCGATTTATTAATGTTTATTGTCCAAACGATGCCACTGATAGAAGACGGTTTCTTAATACCATAGATGTTCATCTAGTTACACGGCGTTTTGTAATACTTGGAGGTGATTTTAATTTTGTAATGGATATTTCATTAGACAAAGTTGGTGGTAATCCTCTTGCAGGAAATGATGGATCTAAAACTCTTCTGAACATTCAGAATAATTATCATTTGAAGGATCCATTTCGCTTTCAGTATCCTAGAAGTATTGTCACTACATGGCGTCAGGGTAATATTTCATGTAGACTTGATAGATTTTACGTATCTTCTTTTGTTTTGGATAATGTCAATAATTGTAGATTAATACCATGTTCCTTTTCGGACCATGACTATTTTGCTTTTGATTTTATGATGTTAGATTCGATCTCAGTTGGTCCAGGGTACTGGAAAATTAACAACTCTATTTTAGAAGACGGGGATTTCCAGGTGTCTTTTCGTAATTTTTGGACTGGTTTAGATGTAAATGACACTCTGTCACATTCTGAGTGGGAGGATTTTAAAGGTAAAATCAAAGTATTTATTTCCCGCTACTGTGTTAAAAGAGTAAATGTCAAGAGAAATGTTCAGTTTCAACTTCAGCGCCGATACAGAGATCTATTAAAAGCTGAGAGTAGGTCTCCAGGAGGCTTTACTGATCAACTTACTGCTGTTAAGAAGCAGTTGTACAATTTTATATTTGATACTGCTCAAGGTGCAATTATTCGTTCACGAGCAAAGTATTTAGACAATAATGAAAAGCCTTCTAAATTTTTTATGCAAACTGAGTTTAAACATTCAGGTGATAAAGTTATTCATAAACTAATTGATGATCAAAATGTTTACACTTCACAGAATGACATTTCTAATCATTGTAGAAACTTCTATGCTAATTTGTTCACTGAAGAGGACATTGATGATGAATTTATAGATAATTTGCCATCTTTAGGGAATGTGTCTGATATGTGTGAAGGTATGATTACAAAAGAGGAAGTGTTTGCAGCCTTAAAAAGTATGGACTCTAATAAGTCTCCAGGTTTGGACGGTTTGTTTAACGAATTCTATATAGCATTTTGGGATCTGTTTGGTGACATTTTAACAAATATATACAATTCCTCTTTTAACTTGGGTCATATGTGTGCCAGTCAAAAACATGGTTGTATATCCCTTTTATGTAAGGATAGTAAACACCCATACTTATTAAAAAATTGGAGACCTATTAGTTTGCTATGTGTTGATTATAAGGCGCTTTCTCGAGTTTTGGAGAATAGATTGTCTTTGGTTATTTCTAACATTGTGCACCCGGATCAGACATGTGCTGTGAAGGGTAGATCTATTCATGATAATTTGCATTTAGTACGTAATGTCATTGATTATGTTGAACAAAAAGAGTTGTCAGTATCCTTTGTTTGTCTAGATCAGGAAAAGGCTTTTGACCGTGTTAATCATAACTTTATGTTTAAGGCTTTACATAAATATGGGTTTGGTCCTCAATTTATCCGCTGGGTTAAACTGTTGTACACTGATATTAAAAGTTCAGTGTTAGTTAATGGTCACCTTTCTCCTTCTTTTCCTGTTACCAGGAGTGTACGACAAGGTTGTAGTTTATCTCCTTTGCAATATGTTTTGGTATTCGAACCCTTTGCCATAAAAGTACGAAATGACAGTTTAATTTCAGGTATAAAACTCCCAGGTTCAAGTGTAGAAGCTAAGTTTTCAGCATATGCAGATGATGGTACTGGAATTTGTGTGAATGGTCAGAGCGTGAAACGTTTGCTTCAGTTGAGTGCATGGTATGGAAAAGCATCTGGTGCAAAACTAAATGTTAATAAAACGAAGGGAATCACATTTGGAAAGTGGAAGTTTTCAGCGGATCACCCGTTTGGGATATCTTGGCCAGAATCTTGCAAAATATTGGGAGTTAAATTTGGCAGGAACATTACCTGTGATGACATTTGGAATGATATTTTGGTAAAAGTTCATGGAGTGCTATTTATTGGTTTCAAAGATAGACAGTTGTCAGTATATGGAAAGCCCACTATTATCAAAAGTATGGCTATGTCCAAGGTTTGGTATACAGCAGGAGTTACACAGATGCCAAGCCATTATTGTAAGTTGATTCAAAGGATGGCTTTTAGTTTCTTTTGGGATTCACATAAGTTAGAGCCACTTAACCGTCACATATTATATAATACCCTTTCAAATGGTGGTGTAAATTTTGTACATCTTATTTCACGTCTTCATGCTCTGAACTTATTTCATTTGCATACGTTCATCAATAATTCTTCTTCCAAGTGGGCTAAATTTGCTCTATACTGGGTTGGAATGGCTCTGAGAAAGGTCAGTCCTAGTTTTGCCTCGAACTTAATTCCACATTCTCCAGTCATTCCCAGCTATTATGAAAAATGTTTGATATCCTATAGGTATTTTATGACGCTTTATCCACATTTTGATTGGAATACTCCTATGCATACAAAAGACTTTTATTACTTAATAATTAATGATGTTGTGATGAAATCCAAAGTCATTACCTTATTTCCAAACATTGACTTTTCAGTAAGCTTTCAGTCATTGTCTAATCCTTTCTTAGATCCTCTGTGCAAGAGTTTTGCATGGCGTATTATGCATTGTATTGTTTCAACTAATTACACATGGTATTGTCGTAGATTTACATTTAATAAAAAATGTACTTTTTGTTCTGAAACAGAGACTTTAAGGCACCTGTTCTTTCAATGTGAAGTAGTTAAAGACATGTGGGATATTGTACATAATTGGATATTTGATATATCATGTGGTGTGGTTGATTTAGATTTTGATATGATAAGGTTTCATAATCTTCCTGGCATTAACTGCAAATATAAGCAGTCAGTTATTTTGTATCTTGTGTGTCTTGCTAAATATCACATTTGGCAGGTTAGATCCAATGTTAAATTTTGGCACAAGTCAACATCATCAACAGGTATGTTTGCTGGATTTGTTGAAAAACTGCGTTTAAGAATTTTATGTGATAAGGTACGATTTCCAAATGATGTGTTTAGAAAATACTGGGTTGATGTAGGTGTTTTTTGTAAACTGTCCCCCAGCAATCACATACAATTTAATTTTGATAGTTAAGTCTAGTTTTATATAAGTGTCAAAAGTTTAAATACTGTGTAACATTTTGTAAATTGTTAATCTCTTCAATTGTATATAAAAGGTTTTATCAGATATTTGTACAGATTTCATGTTAATATGTATATATATGTGTATGTCTATGTGTATTTATGTAGTCTTCTTTGAAGACAAAACTTTATACGAAATAAAAAAAAAAAAAGAAAAAAAAAGAGGTCCATCCGAGGCGTGGTTATTGCTAGTTGAAAACTAATCCCAATACCCCGCGCTGACGCCCTTCACTGGGCGGCATGCGCAATTTTTGTTAGCTCCTACGGGGGCCTCATAACTAATATAAAGATAGAACTTCAATTGAGGAAAACAGTGGGTTTTTTTTCTTATTCGCTTCACACACACAACCAGAACATTATGATCTTGTCATTCTAGTTTCATCTTGTTACGACTGGCTGTGTATTGAACAAAAACTATTCCTCCATGTTATTGATACACAGCTATGCACATGTGAACGATTTAAAAGTATGACAGTTAGAGTTAATTGCCCTTGGACGGTTTTACGCTAGGTAGCGCGTATATGTCGTCTGGTAAACGTTCTACATATCATATGCTTTTGCTGCAGACGGATGTGATGTAATTCCGCGCATTCTGCGTCACCGTCGATTATTAATGATACCAAACACGTCTAAAACGACTTTATAATTTACCTAAAGCTTTTGAGAGTGTTACCACAATAGAACCAGAAACCACTAAAATGTACGCATAGAACCGAAATTAGTTTGATCGTTGTGCATGAATTAAGTTGCTACACTGAACGGTAACATGCATATATAGTTCATGTGTTTGGAAAGCCAGCCAAATCTCCTCCCTATAAAATGACGTAATCACAAGACTGTAGTGTATTGCTAACGCAGTACATATACTAAAATTGGAACGATACAGAGAAGATTAGCATGGCCCCTGCGCAAGGATGACACGCAAATTCGTGAAGCGTTCCATATTTTTAATCTTTACATTCCACCCATTATTGACACAACAAGCTGCATCCAGCATTCAGGTGGCAATATGAGGCGAAGTTGATGTTCGCACTTTAATTGAGAGTTATATGAACGTTTATAAGTGAAATGAACAGACTGCATTATCAAACTTATATTTTCTCTCTTTCTTTCACCTGACGAGCTTTGTACATGCCCACGGTGGCATGGTGTGGAAAGGCACCCAGGGATAAACCGTCTCTATATGATTTGTTTAAAAACTTAGATCATTGTTTAGGATTTCTATGAAATCTCAGATTATCGCAGCCTCCACTTAATTATGTTTGAATGGATGATTATTCCCGCCGAGCACTGCTGTCGCGCATGTCACCTTGCTGTTAACATGAACGTATATCCTACGATGGCTTAAGCCCTCACTTCACTCATCATTGCCGCCTGTGTTAAATGAATTTAACATATTTCAATTGAGACTCAAGGTGTCTGCCCAAACTTTACTTATCCCCAGATGGTTACTAGGGTCGCACTTGAATGGGTGACTACTGCCAGTCAGTGTCAGGGCTTGTGGCTAATTAAACCGGCTTTCTTTTTGTTAAAGTATGCAAATTAGTTCAGACTAGGCATTGGTAGGTCCTTGAAACAACAACCTTCTTATGAACATGTTATAACATTAGCTTTGCGCAGTGGCGGTACCATAGCCAATGAGGTCCATCCGAGGCGTGGTTATTGCTAGTTGAAAACTAATCCCAATAGCCCGCGCTGACGCCCTTCACTGGGCGGCATGCGCAATTTTTGTTAGCTCCTACGGGGGCCTCATAACTAATATAAAAATAGAACTTCAATTGAGGAAAACAGTGGGTTTTTTTTCTTATTCGCTTCACACACACAACCCGAACATTATGATCTTGTCATTCTAGTTTCATCTTGTTACGACTGGCTGTGTATTGAACAAAAACTATTCCTCCATGTTATTGATACACAGCTATGCACATGTGAACGATTTAAAAGTATGACAGTTAGAGTTAATTGCCCTTGGACGGTTTTACGCTAGGTAGCGCGTATATGTCGTCTGGTAAACGTTCTACATATCACATGCTTTTGCTACAGACGGATGTGACGTAATTCCGCGCATTCTGCGTCACCGTCGATTATTAATGATACCAAACACGTCTAAAACGACTTTATAATTTACCTAAAGCTTTTGAGAGTGTTACCACAATAGAACCAGAAACCACTAAAATGTACGCATAGAACCGAAATTAGTTTGATCGTTGTGCATGAATAAAGTTGCTACACTGAACGGTTACATGCATATATAGTTCATGTGTTTGGAAAGCCAGCCAAATCTCCTCCCTATAAAAGGACGTAATCACAAGACTGTAGTGTATTGCTAACGCAGTACATATACTAAAATTGGAACGATACAGAGAAGATTAGCATGGCCCCTGCGCAAGGATGACACGCAAATTCGTGAAGCGTTCCATATTTTTAATCTTTACATTCCACCCATTATTGACACAACAAGCTGCATCCAGCATTCAGGTGGCAATATGAGGCGAAGTTGATGTTCGCACTTTAATTGAGAGTTATATGAACGTTTATAAGTGAAATGAACAGACTGCATTATCAAACTTATATTTTCTCTCTTTCTTTCACCTGACGAGCTTTGTACATGCCCACGGTGGCATGGTGTGGAAAGGCACCCAGGGATAAACCGTCTCTATATGATTTGTTTAAAAACTTAGATCATTGTTTAGGATTTCTATGAAATCTCAGATTATCGCAGCCTCCACTTAATTATGTTTGAATGGATGATTATTCCCGCCGAGCACTGCTGTCGCGCATGTCACCTTGCTGTTAACATGAACGTATATCCTACGATGGCTTAAGCCCTCACTTCACTCATCATTGCCGCCTGTGTTAAATGAATTTAACATATTTCAATTGAGACTCAAGGTGTCTGCCCAAACTTTACTTATCCCCAGATGGTTACTAGGGTCGCACTTGAATGGGTGACTACTGCCAGTCAGTGTCAGGGCTTGTGGCTAATTAAACCGGCTTTCTTTTTGTTAAAGTATGCAAATTAGTTCAGACTAGGCATTGGTAGGTCCTTGAAACAACAACCTTCTTATGAACATGTTATAACATTAGCTTTGCGCAGTGGCGGTACCATAGCCAATGAGGTCCATCCGAGGCGTGGTTATTGCTAGTTGAAAACTAATCCCAATAGCCCGCGCTGACGCCCTTCACTGGGCGGCATGCGCAATTTTTGTTAGCTCCTACGGGGGCCTCATAACTAATATAAAAATAGAACTTCAATTGAGGAAAACAGTGGGTTTTTTTTCTTATTCGCTTCACACACACAACCCGAACATTATGATCTTGTCATTCTAGTTTCATCTTGTTACGACTGGCTGTGTATTGAACAAAAACTATTCCTCCATGTTATTGATACACAGCTATGCACATGTGAACGATTTAAAAGTATGACAGTTAGAGTTAATTGCCCTTGGACGGTTTTACGCTAGGTAGCGCGTATATGTCGTCTGGTAAACGTTCTACATATCACATGCTTTTGCTACAGACGGATGTGACGTAATTCCGCGCATTCTGCGTCACCGTCGATTATTAATGATACCAAACACGTCTAAAACGACTTTATAATTTACCTAAAGCTTTTGAGAGTGTTACCACAATAGAACCAGAAACCACTAAAATGTACGCATAGAACCGAAATTAGTTTGATCGTTGTGCATGAATAAAGTTGCTACACTGAACGGTTACATGCATATATAGTTCATGTGTTTGGAAAGCCAGCCAAATCTCCTCCCTATAAAAGGACGTAATCACAAGACTGTAGTGTATTGCTAACGCAGTACATATACTAAAATTGGAACGATACAGAGAAGATTAGCATGGCCCCTGCGCAAGGATGACACGCAAATTCGTGAAGCGTTCCATATTTTTAATCTTTACATTCCACCCATTATTGACACAACAAGCTGCATCCAGCATTCAGGTGGCAATATGAGGCGAAGTTGATGTTCGCACTTTAATTGAGAGTTATATGAACGTTTATAAGTGAAATGAACAGACTGCATTATCAAACTTATATTTTCTCTCTTTCTTTCACCTGACGAGCTTTGTACATGCCCACGGTGGCATGGTGTGGAAAGGCACCCAGGGATAAACCGTCTCTATATGATTTGTTTAAAAACTTAGATCATTGTTTAGGATTTCTATGAAATCTCAGATTATCGCAGCCTCCACTTAATTATGTTTGAATGGATGATTATTCCCGCCGAGCACTGCTGTCGCGCATGTCACCTTGCTGTTAACATGAACGTATATCCTACGATGGCTTAAGCCCTCACTTCACTCATCATTGCCGCCTGTGTTAAATGAATTTAACATATTTCAATTGAGACTCAAGGTGTCTGCCCAAACTTTACTTATCCCCAGATGGTTACTAGGGTCGCACTTGAATGGGTGACTACTGCCAGTCAGTGTCAGGGCTTGTGGCTAATTAAACCGGCTTTCTTTTTGTTAAAGTATGCAAATTAGTTCAGACTAGGCATTGGTAGGTCCTTGAAACAACAACCTTCTTATGAACATGTTATAACATTAGCTTTGCGCAGTGGCGGTACCATAGCCAATGAGGTCCATCCGAGGCGTGGTTATTGCTAGTTGAAAACTAATCCCAATAGCCCGCGCTGACGCCCTTCACTGGGCGGCATGCGCAATTTTTGTTAGCTCCTACGGGGGCCTCATAACTAATATAAAAATAGAACTTCAATTGAGGAAAACAGTGGGTTTTTTTTCTTATTCGCTTCACACACACAACCCGAACATTATGATCTTGTCATTCTAGTTTCATCTTGTTACGACTGGCTGTGTATTGAACAAAAACTATTCCTCCATGTTATTGATACACAGCTATGCACATGTGAACGATTTAAAAGTATGACAGTTAGAGTTAATTGCCCTTGGACGGTTTTACGCTAGGTAGCGCGTATATGTCGTCTGGTAAACGTTCTACATATCACATGCTTTTGCTACAGACGGATGTGACGTAATTCCGCGCATTCTGCGTCACCGTCGATTATTAATGATACCAAACACGTCTAAAACGACTTTATAATTTACCTAAAGCTTTTGAGAGTGTTACCACAATAGAACCAGAAACCACTAAAATGTACGCATAGAACCGAAATTAGTTTGATCGTTGTGCATGAATAAAGTTGCTACACTGAACGGTTACATGCATATATAGTTCATGTGTTTGGAAAGCCAGCCAAATCTCCTCCCTATAAAAGGACGTAATCACAAGACTGTAGTGTATT